GAGTTATTTGGAGATCAGCTATATGCAGCAAAACATAATTACAGATTCGGTTGCAACAAATGATGTCTCCATTGCCAGTTCTCACCCCAAAGGGAGCAACTTTTTGGGTTGATAAGCTGACCTTAGGAACCAAGGAATTGGAAATAAATTATGGGTTGAGCCACATTCAATTGGAACCGACACTTGGGAAAAATTGATGTAGCCATGGACAACCAAAGCTGAGTGATGCGGCATAATCATGATGGCGTGCAAGCTAATTTCAGCTAACTCTTCAGCTTCTTCTTCACCTATCCCTAAATCTTTAGTGTTCAGATCACCAGCCTCCAACAATTGTAATGAGCTTGTTTTGCATTTATGCCATGGACCATATTTTTCTTCACATCGAAAACACTCTCCTTTGACATACCTAGCTTGTTTCTCTGTGTCTGAAATGCAAAGCAGAGGAACTAGGGCTGCGTTTGTGGCTGTTCAGCCTGTTCTGGTTGGTAAAAGGGCTGGTTTCGTGGTAATTGTAGTCTGTGATTGTGTTCCCATCTGGTTGTGAGTTGTCTTTGCCTTGAATTCTAATGCTAGCATTGTAAGGGGTTCGAGATTTGTGACCCCAGACATCAGCCTTTAACTCTTCTTTGAGACCATTTAAGAAAACTCTTAAAAGGCAATGCTCTCGCCAATCTGATACTCTTGAGGATCTTTTAGCAAATTCCTGCCTATACTCCTGAACCGAAACGTTTGTCTAATGCTACACACGTTGAAACTTGGCCGGGCCAAAGTTTTTGGTGAGAGCTTGAATGAGTTCTTCCCAGAACGAAATTGGATGATCAGCCGACAGCCACAAATAGAGGTCTAGTGCATCTCCCTCTAAGTGCATAGAAGCGACATCCACCTTCTCCATATTGACCATATAGAGTATATTATAGTACCAAAATACTTTTCAGCCTTAAGAACCCTCTGAATTTTGGGAATTTGATATTGGGAGGAGGTGATTCGACAGGACTTAGGACTTCTTACCCTTAGTACTGGTGTGGTCTTAAGTAAGATTGTTTGGAAAGCTAGGATTAGGGTGGTCGGGTACACACTTTGGACTAGGTGATGGTTTATGCACTTGTTGTGTACGTTGAATGCTTTGTTGTGTGCTGTGTGTGCTTTCTATGCTTTGTAAGATTTGTTGTGTGCTTTCTATGCGCTTTCTCTCTGTGCTCCTATATTTTCTGTGCTACTTGAGCTGGGGGTCTCAAAAAAACAGCCTCCCTAATTTAATTTCGAGTAAGGGCAAGGTCTACGTACACCCTCCCCAAACCCTACTATTGTGGGATCCAACTGGGTCGTTGTTGGTGTTTGTTATGTTCCAGGAAGCCTCTCCATCATAAAACCTGGATCCGCTGGATTTCTCCTTGGAATTGTGTTTGAGGGCTGTGACATCTTCCTTCAGTAATTCTATTGACTCGAGTTTGGCTGTAATGGCGGCCAATTGCACAGAAATTTGATCAGCTGAGGAACTGCTACCATCACTATTACGTGTTTGCACCATGTTCCTTCCCGGAACCAAGTGATAAGAACCAGAACATTAAGATGCAAACAAAGAAAAATTTCACTAATTGGCCCGCTTTGAGAGGGGCAAATCTCCGGTACAGAATTGTACTTAGGTAATTCAAAATAAACCAGACCAACCTTAAAGATCATAGACTACTAACATAAACTCAAAGAACAGAAGCAGTTATGCTGCAGGTTTCTCTAAATAATAACTGACCCATTCACCCACTAGCCCCACTTGACTAATACCCGTTCACCCACTAACCCCACTCGGGTGTTTTGCCTTGGATCCCTCTGACCAGGTCACATTTTTCATCTGATTATGACCGGGATTATTTGGGGTCGTATCAATAGCTCTAGGAGGGCATGGAAGAAGGAAGGCGATTTGCTTTATCTCTCTTTTCAAGGAGTTGGTCCCCAAGTACGAAAACCATGACCAAATGTGAAAAGATAAACAATTAAAAAGTGCACCAATCCCAAACTTCCCAATAGCAAGACTATTGGTCAGGAAAATTGGATAATTTGCAGGAATAAAAGTAATGTCACAAGTTATACCAAGTGCAAGGCACAATGAGATAAATGCATAATAAAAAACATGGGTGACTTATAAAGATGAACAATTTATGTATTGAGTATGCTATGAATGAAAACCAAAGTATCATTGTGCTTGATGCGATTGAATGCATATAAAACACTTTGCGTGTAGCAAAAACCATGATATCTATTCTAGTCAATGACAAATAGCATGCATACATAAGGCAACCTAGTTAATTTCAATGCATGAAAATGATAAACATAAATGTGAATGCAACCTCATGAGAAAGAAGAATTTAAAAAGTAAAGATAACTTTTGACTGTGTATATTATAAAAGAAAAGAATTGAAATCATAATAAAATCATTTACATCTTAAAAACTAACTTTTAACTTAATATTTTCTATTACAATTATTATTATTATTATAAATGTCAATAATATACTTTAAAAAATTTAGTGTCATTATTTATTAAAAAATATTTTTTTTGTACACAAACAAATAGTTACCATTATAAGGTCAACATAAAATATTACAATGTTAAATGAACTAATTTATTATATATGTCCCTTTATAATTTTGCAATATTTTATAATTATGTTTCTTTAAAATGACATTAACTTGTATTACCTTTTAAATTCTTAATAACTTCATTAGAAATGCTTATAATTGAATTTAATTATTTTTGTTATAAATAAGTCTACTTACAATTGCACTTTATAAAAAAAGTAAAAACGTACCGCCCATATATTTTTGTTGACCTAGATTGCCTTAAATTAATGATGTGGTGTGATTTACTCTTTCCGTTTCACAAAACAATTTTTATTTCACTTTCTCTGCCCACAAAACACTTTCACTTTCCATTAAAAAGTCACTTTTACCTCTACAAATTACTACCCTACCAATCACATCATCTCTATTCTATATTAATCTACAAAACACATCCTACTTTTACCCATCACATCCAAGAGCAAAATTGGAAAGTCAACTACAAAAACACTCCCCTTAAACTTGCCAAAAGACAAAACCGGAACTCTTTTTTAAAATAGATGGAGTATGTTTCTCAAAACAGTTAATTACCAAACAGCCAACTACCAAACATTTGACCAAACAGACATGTGAACTAGTATTCTAAGCATTTTAAATTGTGAGCATGCTCAAACGTAAAGTATTACTTGGAGAAAATTGGAAAACAAGGAATAAGAGGGTATACCCTTCACGGCCAGCCATACAGTGGAAGTAATATTCCTGGGGACGGAGACCAGTAAGAAATCGGTCAGTGATAAAGCCTCCTGCCCTGGAAGTGAAATCCCAAGGGGTAAAGCATGGCAAGGTTTTCCCAGAAACCATCCTAGGCACTCGTTTTCCTTCCAACTCTTGCTGGCCCAGATATGATGATATTTGTTGAAAATTAACCTACAAGAAGTATACAAACAATCAATTATACACATGTCACTAACTACAATGAAACTGAAGGATACTGACGATAACAATGTGCTGATTAGTGAGTGCAACATGTTGATCATGCAAAGCCCACGATGCTCACAAAATGTTAGATCTTGAACTTCTAATCATTAATGATTTAACATCACATCCTAATGATACAAATATAATCTCTTATATCATTGCTTCTAAAACAAGTAGCACACTCTGTTATTAAAAAATGATCTGACAGTCCAATCCAAGAATGCGATGATGAATTTGTAAATATAAATGACAGGGTAGAAGAAGGGACAGTGGGGCCTCTATCAACTATACGAAGGAGTAAATATTACTACATCACGTCCCCATAGTTATGAAAGGCGAGTGGCGAATGGCAGGCAGTCAAATGGCGAACAAATAAAAGCGAATATATATATATATAACTTTCAGTTTTGTATTTTTGTTTATATTTATTTTTTTACATTTTTTTCAGTATTCCAAATCTTTTTTTGGAATTCTTACTTATTCTAAAATAAATAATTCCATTAATAATTGAATATATTGTATAAAATGACTTTAAAATTTATTTATGTAATATGAATTCCACAGAAAAAAGATTTGGAATACTGAAAAATAAAAAAATGTAAACAAATAAATATAAAAAAATACAAAACTGAAAATTTAATAAAAATCATAACTGAAACCTGACCATATATGAAGCTTATAGCAAACAGGATAGGGTTTTCATCATAAGACCTAAATGAAACCTGGGGCTGGTTGGGCTGGATAGGGTCGGGTAGGTTTAGGACAAATAGTCGATATTAGTACTAGCAAGTTGCGAATAGAAGCCGGCAAAGAGAGCAGCTAATATATAACCATACAGCGAAGCACTGACGAATCTGAACGGGTGGAAAAATTAAAATAAAACTGGCCGCGACCGGGAAGGCATGAGTAGTGATCGCCTTACGCCATAGCTTTCATCGGAAATGGCGACCGCCATAGGCAAAGGTAGTCAAACTCGCGAGTTGACTCGTACAAGTCTACGATTTTGAGGATCGGCGGTAGCTTACCGATCTGAGACGGCTGCAGAATCGCGAAATCCATGGAATCGTTCGGATCGACGATTTGGCTAGTGGAAACGCAGGATCGGGTACAATCGCCGAGTCTGAGAAGTCCAAATAGCGTCTCTTCAAAATCTCCTTCCAATCGCTTTTGGAACTGCAATTGGAAAGTCGCGTCTGTTGCGACTCCCAATTTGGATCGGAAAGCAGCGTAAATAGTAAATAGATTCCCAATTTGAATAGGAAAGCAGCATATCAGACGTATGACGTATCTTCTTCTATTTATTTGGGAATCAAGACTTCTCTGCGTATCAGCCTTCCTTCTTTTTTTTTCTCCTGCGAATCCTCTGTGTCTGTCGTCGGCTTCTTCTTTCTGCCTCTACTCTCTTACAATGTCAATCCCTCCTTCAGCCACTCCATTTAGTAGACCAATTGCAAAAAATGCTCCTGGGCAGAAAACAGATGTTGCTTGGGAACATTGCAAAGCAATTGATTCTAGCAATAGAAAGCTACAATGTAATTATTGTAGCAAAGTCATAACCGGGGGGGTGTTCCGTATGAAGCATCACTTAGCAGGGACACAAAAGGATGTGGGTGCTTGCAAAAGTGTTTCTAATAAGTTGAGGCAAGAAATGTGGGACATTGTAGTTACCTCTAAAGAGAAAAGGAGAAAAGAGGATGAAGACGATGATGATGATTGTGAAAATGTTGGTTTCAAAAGAAAAATCAACGACGAGGTTGGTGATGGATCGAATACTTTTTCCAAAAAAAGGGCGACCAATCAAAGCACCATTAATAGCATGTACAAGAAGAGNAAGAAGAGTTTGAGAGAAGATGCATGTCTAGCAATTTCGAGATATTACTTCAACAATGCCATAGCATTCAACACGGCAAGAAGTGAAGAGTTTCGTATCATGTGTGATTTGATTGCAAAACATGGACCCGGATTCAAGCCACCGTCATATCATGAGATCAGAGTAAAGTATTTAAAACAAGAAGTGGAGTCGACAGAACGCATTGTCAATGAACATAGGAGCGAATGGAAGAAGACAGGGTGCACAATAATGAGTGATGGTTGGTCTGACATAAAAAAAAGAGCATTGATTAATTTTCTAGTTCATAGTCCAAAGGGGATTGTTTTCTTGAAATCACTTGATGCTTCTGAAATAGTGAAGTCACATGACAAGATTTTTGAGATGTTGGATGAGGTGATTGAAGATGTGAGTGAAGAAAATGTTGTTCAGATTGTGACAGATAATGCCCCAAATTATGTAAAAGCAAGTACTCTACTCATGGAGAAGCGAAAAAGGCTATATTGGACACCATGTGCGGCTCATTGCATTGATCTCATGCTAGAGGACTTCGAAAAGAAAATCCCAATCCATGGAGTGACAATTACTAATGGTCGCAAAATCACTACTTATATTTACTCTAGACCTTCTCTGATTCCTATATTACACCACTTCACAGATGGGAAAGATTTGGTGAGACCGGGAATGACCCGATTTGCTACTGCTTATCTAACTTTGGGGTGTCTTTATGAAAACAAAGGTGGTTTAATTAGAATGTTTACCTCAGAAGAATGGAAGACAAACAAACACTCAAAAATAAAGGATGGAAAAGATGTGGAGGAGATTGTGTTGGATACGGAGTTTTGGAAAAGCATAGTGATATGCTTAAAGGGTGCATTACCTCTCATTGAGGTGCTTCGTTTGGTTGATTCTGATGAGCATCCTGCCATGGGATTTCTTTACGAGGCAATGGACCGAGCAAAAGAAAAGATACAAGCAGCTTTCCAAAATGTCAAGAAAAGGTACATCACATATTCACATAAGTCCTTTGTTGAATAAAATCATAAAATATTAATATGAATTTAATTAATAATTAAAATACTTCTTTTGTGTTCAGTTATAGGCCTTTGTGGAGTGTCATTGATCTCAGATGGAATAAACAACTTCATAGGCCCTTGCATGCCGCAGGCTATTATCTTAACCCTCGCATGCACTATAGCCCCGGTTTTAAAGTTGATTATGAAGTTAAACAAGGCGTATATGATTGTTTACGACGCATGGTGGCTGATATCGAAGAACAGGCAAGGATTGATGTTCAACTACAGGACTTTAAGAAGCGTCAAAAGTTATTTGGNGGAGTGTCATTGATCTCAGATGGAATAAACAACTTCATAGGCCCTTGCATGCCGCAGGCTATTATCTTAACCCTCGCATGCACTATAGCCCCGGTTTTAAAGTTGATTATGAAGTTAAACAAGGCGTATATGATTGTTTACGACGCATGGTGGCTGATATCGAAGAACAGGCAAGGATTGATGTTCAACTACAGGACTTTAAGAAGCGTCAAAAGTTATTTGGTTCTCCATTGGCTCAAAAGACATTTGATAAGCTAAGTCCAGCAGATTGGTGGGGACTCATATGGAGATGAACATCCAGACCTTCAAAAATTTGCGATTCGAGTATTGAGCTTGACATGCAGTTCGTCAGGATGCGAGCGTAATTGGAGTGCATTTGAGATGGTAAGATTTCTAAAGTTTTATTACATTCTACAATGTGCAAATAAATATGACTTGATAATTTTCATTAGATCAATACAAAGAGAAGAAATCGTATGAAGCAGAAAACAATGAACGATGTTGTTTTTGTCATGACTAATTCAAAATTGGCAAAAAAGAAGAAAGCCAGGAGATCAAATCCGCTCAAACTAGAAGATCTTTCGTCAGATGATGAGTGGATTATGGAAGATGTTGGTGAAGACCCAAGAGGTGATGAAGTTGCTGCTGGCAATAACTCCACAGATGTTCCAACACAAAATGGAGAAGAAGAGGCTGCTGCAAATGTTCAACCTGAACATGAAGAGGAGTTGGATGTCACCAATTTAGATGAGGGAGATGAAGATGAAGATGAAGATCAAGAACTTGAGGATTATGATTTTAGCATTGATAATTATGTTTTAGATGTTTAAGAATAAAGTTTTAAGTCATTTGTGATCCAACTTGAACTTGTGTTATGTTTTAATAAAATTTAATTAAAACATTAAACGTGTATACATACATACATACATACATATATATATATATATAGTAGGATCTTACGATCCGAGTCACGATCTTACGATGTTACGATCTTCATTATGCTTATCGATCCTACGTAGAATCTAGAGTTTGACTACCTTGCATGGCGCGCCTCACGTACATCGCCTCGCCCGACCAAATTCAGGCGCTGGAGGGTCGCCACAGTGCCATAACTGTCATAGGCGACCATGGCGCTCGCCTTTCATAACAATGCTCGTCCCAGTGTTTTTGACCAGTATTCCTTTTTGAGTTGTCCCAGTATATTTGTTGGTTTGTCCACTTTAATTTTATGGTAAGAAAAAAGTATAATGCCTACTTTACCCTCCATCAACAGAGCATCACAGATGTCGCAGCCATGGTTCTTCGGTCAGACCCGGAGAAGCAATCACTGATTGCCATTCCGAGGGAAATATGGGATGGACCGCAAATGGACTGCGGTTAGGGTTCAACAAGACTGGTGAGGAGTCGATGTTCTCACTCTTGTCCTTTATCTTGCTAAAGATCTGGATGATGTCATCGCCATTTACTCCAAAGATTTATCTAGTACTCTAGTGATTATGAAGATCTGGATGATTTTATCATCATTGACTTTGAGCTATGTTCCAAAACAATCTCTCTCTGACTGAAATCCCTAGAAGTAATTTAACCTAGCTTTTCTTGTACAAATGTTCTTCATCTGAAGCCCCCGAATATAGTAATCCATTCTTATTATTTGAACGGGCCAAAGAGTAGGGGTATTTAAGACTTTTTCTTCTCCTTTGACCTTTATCTTGGTATTTGTGCCAAAATGTATGTGGACGAAAACACCAGGACGGAGGGAGTACTTTATAAGTAAAGAAATGTTTAAATGTTTAGGAGATTTCAACCGCATTGCACAAATTGTCAAGCAAAATTAACAGGAAACATATCACAAATAATCAAGCCTATCGCAATAGAATCAAGAAAAGGCAGCAGCAGGGGTTTCTCCACAGGTTTTTGAAAGTGTGCACAAATGAATGCTCCGTTAATGGAAAGTGGCAGAGATCTAAATTAGGGGGTTTTCTCAACTTCTCAATTAAGATCTTAAATGATTCCTAAAATATAATGGCCCGTCAAAGGCAGTAGGCGTTTTACAGTATTTATGGTCATTTTGTCTCTGTTCCACTGCTGCAATGGTGCCTAGTTCTTCTAGTATTGTAGCTCTATTCTAAAGTCGCATAAACTGTAATATTGTTTTCATAATATAGGTCACACTAAGGACTTCGTCATCCTCCCTCCCCCCCCCCCCAAATTGACATTTTGACTTCACCGGGTTTAAGAATAGCATTGAGAAGTAAAAAGTGTGGTTGGAATTAGTTTATAAGAGAGATATGTTGTGTGGCACGTATTCTTTTCCTGAAAAGAAAAATGAGAGAAGTGAAAAGTTTATTTTGTGATGTACATAAAAGGGGCATGAAAGTAATCACTTAAGTCATTGTATTTAGCTATTGTATAGGGCATTAGGCATTACAAACAATTTGTGATCATCAGAGATAAGTTTTTCCTTTATTTATGTCTTACATATCTTCACAAATACTGTACATAATTAATTCTCCACATCGGAAACAAGCGAAAGAGATGTGATGTCTTATTTCTTGTATCAAAATTATTAGGCTTATCAGGAAACACGTAGCAAATTAATCAAGCCTGTAAAAAATCAGAGAAAAATGCAGCAGTGGGGATTCTCCTCAAGTTTTTAATTGAGTAATTAAGGTATATATTTTGATTTAATCTATAGATGATAAATGGCTTAATAGACATAGCTACTTCCCTTAAGTCACTACAAGCAAACGAGATGTCAGGTCTCTTTTCTTAAATGATTCAAGTCAACTTCTAACTGTTAACCTTATGACTTATGACCCCTTTTCTTGAATCAACTTCTAACTATGAGCCTTATGAGTGAACATTAAAACTAGTTCAATTTATTTCTCAAAGGTAATAACATGTGTTTCCTTTAGAGCGACAAGCTATACTATAATAGTTGATTTACCTTGTTGACTATAATAATGGAGATCAATATTATACAGAAAATATTAATCTTAAGAAAATTATGTGATTTTGTTATGATTTTTCTGATTTGAGAACTAATTGCTTCCAGAAATTACTTTTATCTTCAAGAAAATTATTAAGAGTCAGCCTAATAGTATTTTTCTTAAACCAATATTACAACGTTAATCAATATTACTGGGCTTAAAAGGAAGCATGCGGTTATTTTAACTAGGTGTATGGTTTGGAAAAAAACTCACATAAAATGCAATTACATATACGAGGATAAAATCCCCATTAAGCAAACTGGACATTCCAATCCCATCGGAAATAACACTAGAACTACTTTTGGGAAGAAAAACATTGCTTTGGAAAACATAACATCATTAATTTTAGAGGGTGTTTGGAAGTGTGGTAGATTGACAAAAAGGCAAAAACTTTAAGAGAAAGCAGAAAGCAGAAAACTTGACTTTGCTTAAAAGTACTTTTGGAGCCCATTTTAGACTTCAAAAGTCATAATCTATAAACAGAAGCAAATTGACAAACAAGACAAATTGTATTTTAATAAAACAGAAGCTCAAAAGCAGTTTTTAAACGCAGCCCCAGACACCCTCTTAGCCTCTTAGCCATTAATTTGTTGGGAGGATTTTATAGGGAAAAAGAGCTGTGTAGGATTGGTGTGTGGGTGGGGGGGAGATCAGGAACCATTAAAAATTATGTAAAACTCACTGAAGTATATAGAAAACATACCGTACTTCCCTTAGCCCCAGTGACAGTCATTAAAGAGATACAATTCTTGGGAAAAGGTCTCAGTAATCCTTTGAGAAGCAAATCTTTATCCATGTTTTTAGCTTTTTTATTCAATTGATTTTTCATCCTCATGTCCAAGGAGGCTATAGCATTTTCTTTATCAATGCTAATTGCCTTTTCAATCTCTAGCTGGAGTTCTGCAGGACCTATAAAATCAAACAAATAATGTCAAAAAGACAATATATAAGAGTATAACCAAAGGAGTGTAATAAGAACTGAGAAAATGAATTATCAAGGTTTGCAGAGAACGGTTAATTATCTGAAAGTAGTTTATTTCATTTTACAAAAAAAGGCGTTGCAAAAATAACCCATTCATTAGTTTCTCTCCAACCTCAAACACTGCACATATATAAGAGACTGCGCTAGTTGATATTTTCATGAATGATCTTAACTCATGGGCAAATTAAAGTATATGTAGCATGCATAAAGTTTGTATACTGGCGTCCCAATCTCTTTCTGCTAAATTGATTATAAGCATGTACTACTGCTAACATAGAATGATGAGAAGTGCAAAAATAAACATTATGGAAGTTGCAGAGTGAGGCTTCCCTTCTCAGTAATTTTATTACGGAAGGAGTTATATAACATGAGGCTTTCCTTTTTTATCCAATAACAAGCATCTACTTTTTCACATTGTTTACTACTTAAAGCATTCAGTTTCCACAACATATATTTCATCAAAACATCCTGTGCTGCAGAAATGACTAGTTAAACAATAATAAATTATGAAGTGTCATGCTTGACAACACAGCTTGAGAATTTAATTTGTAATTGTTGCATAATACACAGTATTATGAAATGCCATGCATGACTATAATGTCAGAAAATTCATATCGCAATATGCATATGCATTAAATTAAACTTTAATTAGTACATGCTGCTAAAATAAAACTAAAAGGGAAACTTTGCAACAAAAGATGTATTACCTATCTCTCCAGGTTTAAATTTAACAAAATTAGCATGAACTTCTTCACCAACATCTTCACTTTCAAGTTGCTCTTTCCTTTGAGAGTCATAGTCAGGCAAAATTATAAGGTCATCAACTCCGCATGTGAAGCCATGAGTCTGAGTGATAGAGGTGAAAGCAAGTAACCAACAGAAGGATATGATCCAACAAGATTGAAAGGAAATTCATCACCATGATTATCAGCACCTTAATCCCAGCTAGAAGTAGTTGGCCTCAGTGTCATTTAATTCATACTCCGTAGTACCATAGTAAATTATGTAAGCCATTAAACTAATGCAAAACACATAGGTGCAATTTTTATGCTGGATTCCATCATTAGAAAAAATACTGAGGTAAAAATTTTAAAATTTTCATCATCATACTTTACTTCCACATGCATGGAAAATATCATGAGACGTACACCTGGCAAACAATTTCACGGGTTTAGTTTTCATTAGAATCTGTTTTATTAGGTTCTATTACGGATTTGTGTAATGATTGGTTTAGTTCAATGCGGTCATAAAGGTTTGTTTCGGGTTTTACTTTTTTTGTTCTGTTCAAGTACAGGTTAGGTCAGTTTAGGTTCAGGGTTTTTAAACTGGATTAGTTTAAGTTTGAGAGGATATCAGGTCAGGTCCTTTTTGGATTGGTAGAGCACTAAGCTGCACTGAAATTGTATAATTGGGACTTTGACCTTGATAAATATTAAGATTGATTTGAATTTTGAATTACATACACTTTATTTAAGCCTTTCAATAAAGGTTGGGTCGATATATTATGTCACTTATATTGAACTTCTAAATACTATGCTTAAAAATTAGTCTCGTCATTTTCTACCATTAACTTGATGTCTGTTGTTGCGCTTTCTAAGAACTCTAACCTATGAAGCACAGATGGAGGTGTTGTGCGGGTGCGCGACTGGTGGGTGGGTGCAGAAATTTTCAGTAAAGACTGTGTGAGGGCGCGGCAAATTTCTTTATACATGTATTTTTTTATAGTAATATTTCTTTGTGAAATACATGTATTTATGTTCAAAATATTTACAGAAGACAACAATTATCTTAATTTTACATAAATGAAACACGTGACATCCTACAAAATAGATAGAAAACATAAAACAAGTCTTGAATTAACAATAAAGTTCACATCAAA